CCCAGAAAGAGCTCTGGTAGCGTAGTGGTTATGAATCAGGCTGTGAACCGCAAGGTGCAAGGTCTGCAGTTCGAAATTAGCAGCTGTTCCGTGGGAGAAAGATGAGGCTTTCTGCTCCCAAAAAGATTTACAGCCTCGGAAACCCTGTGCAGGGTTGCTATGAGTCGGAACCGACTCCACAACACATAACCGTGAGACCACCAACACCATGAGACCCAGACTTAGCCCTTCACGTATTTTCACTGGGCTCTCCAGAAACAGATCTGCCCTTCTGTGACTGTGACTGTATCCAGCTGCTCACCCCAACTCCTTCATGTGTATTCCAGACAGTTTTCATCCATTCATGCCCCTCTCTTTGTTTTTGTGAGCTTATAGTTTTTTTAAAACTTCCTTTACAGTACGTAATTTTAATGGGGTGTGGTTAGATTGGGTTTTTGAACTAGTAGTGTGATTAATTAAAAATTTTTGCAAGTTTAAATGTTTCATCCCAAGAATTTTTTTGCTATGTTCTCATGGTACTTTAGCATTTAGTACAGACTGTAATAACAAGGAGCTCTGCTATTGTAGTGGTTTTGAGTCTCACTGCTAACCTCAAGGTCAGCAGTTTGAAACTACCAGCCGTTCTGCGGGAGAAAGATGATGCTTTCTGCTCCCGTAAAGATTTACAACCTCGGAAACCCTATACAGGGTCGCTATGAGTCGGAACCGACTCCACAGCACACTACTACAACCCCCACCACCATAAATAACAGCACTGTAAAAAGTAATATCCAAGAATGATAATAAAAACTTTACTGAGTAATTACTATCTGCTGCTTTACACATTTTAATATCTTTGCATTTTCAAAATGCATTTAATCCTCCTTAACAAAATGAGAAGACCTGATGTGGCACTGCAGGTTAATGCACTGGACTGCAAAATTGGTTTGAACCACAAGATTGGAAGCTCAAGCTTACCAGCTGCTCCTCAGAAATCCTATAAAGAGTTGCTATGAGTGGGAACCAACTCGAAGGCACTTAACAACGACAGTCAAAATGAAATGGAAATTACTATTATTATTATTTCCATTTTAGAGAAAGAAAATAAAGCCCAGAAAATTAAGTACTTTCCTTAAAGCCATATAGCTATAAGTTGTTGTAGTTTTATGCCGTAGAGTCAGTTCCGACTCATAGCGACCCTGTACAGGGTTTCCGATGCTGTAAATCTTCACGGGAGCAGAAAGCCTCATCTTTCTCCCGTGGAACAGCTGGTAGTTTCAAACTGCTGACCTTGAAGTTCGCAGCCCGATTTGTAACCATTATGCCACCAGAGCTCCTTTATAGCTATAAGTGGTGGAGCCTTAATTTGAATTTATGCATGCTAAATCCACAATCTGCACATTTACCCACTGATCACTGAACCCACTGAACCCTAATAATCCATGATGATATTATTGTCTCCATTTTATGAGTGAACACATTCAAGTTAGAGAGGTTAGGTAGTTTATGTAAGATTACACATTGTGCAAATGGTAAAACCAGGAGTGGAACCCAGGCCATACTGATTATTAAATCTTTATTTGCCTATTTATGTCATTTTCCTTGATTGTTCCCCAAAATTTCTTAGACATTTTTGTTCTTAATCCAAATAAATTTTGCAATTTAATGGGATTTCGTCAGTTGGCTGTGAAATGAACGGATTCATTTCTAGTGATGTTTTCCCTGTTATCAATCATTAAGCCTACTCTTCCTGCTCATTCAGCCCTATTTAAGGGTGCCCTGGCGGTGCAATGGCAAAGCTCTTAGCTGGTAACTGAAAAGTTGGCAGTTTGAACCAACCTGATGGCTCCATGAGAGAACTACTCGGCAGTCTACTTCAATAACGCTTCCAGCCTAAGAAATGGTGGGGCCATTCTCTTCTGTCACTTGAGGCCACTAGGGGTTGAAATTGACTGTGACACCCAGCAACAACAGCAAGAGCAAGGAGACGGTGTTTGTAATACTTCACTATTGCTTCCCTGCCATGATGTTAGACACTTCTTTTATTTTTTAAACTGTTAATTGTGAATTGAATGAAGGTTTATAGAGCAGATCATCGGTTTTACATTCAGCAAATCATATACTTTGCTTCATTACATGGTCCCCTCCATGTAGCAACAGCTAACAGTGTTTACCTCTACTCTCGTTAACTGTTGCATTCCTCCCTGTGTCTCCTGCCACCTTCATCTTTCCTCTGCTAATCTCCCTCTTGTATATTTCCTGCTCTGTCACCCATATTAACATGTGTCTGCCCTCTAGCCCATGAATAATTTCTCCCCCCTATAACCATCATAGAATGTTTCTTTTATCAAGAAAAACTTTTCTTAAATTTTTGCAACAGTGGTTTTATCAGTATTTGTCCTTTTGTGATTGGCTAATTTAATTCAGCATACATGATGTCCTCCGGATTCATCCATGTTGTGGGGTGCTTTTTAGATTCATCATTATTCTTCAACATCGCGTAGTATTCTATTGTGTGTATGTGTATCAAAGTTTGTCTAGCCATTCTTCTGTTGATGGACATTTAGGTTGTCTCCATCTTTTTGCTATAGTGAGTAGTGCTTCGATGAACATGGATATAGGCACTTCTTTCAGTTGAAGTTAATGAGATACTTTTAGGAGCAGAAAGCTGCTCTGAAAACCACTGAAGACTGTTGGGAAAAGAATTGCAGAAAAAACAAACAAAGCAAAACAAAACTGAAACTTCCCTTTGCAATCACCAGGATTATTTTTTTAAAACATACACATTCATATTTATTCACCCCCTCTCAGAAATTAGTACTAAAAGGCAGAAAAGGTATTCTTTGGATATCAACATCTGTGGATCTAACCCAATAAAAAATCAGATCTGATCATCATTTGGACTCATTAAAAACATAGTTTGCCAAAAATTTCAATTCAAATGAACTTTATAATATCTGCATTTCCTATAATTTGACCTTTCAATTTACTTACTGAGTATAATGACTCCTTTTCACAGATTTGCTATGGAATCATTTATGGAATGGGAGCTAAATCTCTAGGAGAGCAGATGGGCATTACAGAAAACGATGCTGCTTGCTACATTGACTCCTTCAAATCCAGATACACAGGTACGGAAACCTTGACTACTACTTATCTTCTAGATACCATTCTTTTCAACCATCTTTGCATATTATATTACTTTGTAAAATTTTTCTGTTACACTTTTATTCAAAACTTTTCATTGGGTATTGTTTAAGGCAAATTACATTAATCTTAAGCATTGTGATTATTTACTGACATGTACTTTCATCATAAAAGTAAGGATGGAGAAAGAATAGCAAAATGTAGTGGATTTATGTGCTCCTGTACCACTGTGAATCTCTTGGTAAAATTCAGAATTGTCCTGTGCTTTGGATTTAACTAGCTTTAGTTTGAACAAGTTAACTATTGATCGCTGTACTAGATACTCCTAAGAAAATAATTGCTCATATAGAGCAGTTTGAGTATCATGGTCTTAAATGATCACTTAACTTTCGGCAGTTTATTAAGATGTAAAATTTTTTTTATTGCTTTATTGTGAATTATGTGATAGTTTACATGGGAAGACATTAGCTTCACATTGATTCCATCGTATATCGTTTCCTTGCCTTGGTTACAATCCCCTCCATGCATCATCCACCAACCAAAGGGTATACCTCGCAAGCTTGTCCCCAGGAGTCTGCACACAGCCCCTCTTCCTCTCTGGGTCCAAAGTTCCCAACCGCTCCATCTCCCCATGTCACCATCTCTGCCTCCATCCCTGGCATCACTGCTTCTCTGGGTAGGGTTCCATTCTCCTCTCTTCTCCTTTGATGGTCCCAGGGACCTCCGTTCCTAGACTGCAAGGTTAATCACTCCCCTCCCTTCGCCACAAAATGTCTACCTTTATATTCCCAACCTTACAATCAGTCCTGATAACAATTACTCACTATTGTAAAGATGTAATTTACTTACAATAAAAGTCACTCTTTTTTAGGTGTAAAGTTCTATGAATTTTGAATGATGATGTTTGTTTGCAGTAATAACATTTGTGGAAAGTTCATCTGGATTATCTCTGGGAATGAGGATTACGTTTCTAGTCAGAAAGTTAGTGAGAGTTGTCTGTATGGCCCTTTTCCTTATTTCTGTATACATTTTGTAGCAACATCTCAACTGCTTCCCAAATTTGCTGATTGACTTTACCAAAGTAATCCAGCATTTGGAGGTCCATGTTTTCAAGCAGCTGAAAATTCAGCTAATCTTTTCACTATAAAATTACTAATGATAAAATGTTAAGAAAAAGACGACTGAAAGTGCAGTTTGTTGTAACTTGAATATGTCTTAAGGCAGGATTAACAAAATTAAATACTGACACTCACTATGATATAATCACTATGATGATTCTTGAAAATATTTTCTTAGAAAATAAGACAGATGCAGATAAATGCTATGTAGTTGAAATTTTTGAAATTCAAGAGGATGAAAACTAACAGCTAGTGCTGTATAACAGACCAGTAAGTGTCTGAGACTGATAGTTGGGGTCTGACTGGAAAGGGGCACAAGGGAACTTTTGCAAGTGATGATAATGTTTCATATCTTCTAGAGGTAGAAGTGTATCCTTTTATTAAAAAAGCATCACACTGTTCACTGTAACTGGATGTCTTTATTGTATGTAAATTACATGTCACAGGTTTTTTAGAGTAGTGCTTACAATCTTTGAATATTTGAGCATCTCCTACAGAAGTCAGGTAAGAGAATTTGTAGAGATGATATATTATGTTAAATCGTATCTTTTTGGTTGTTCTTCACCCAACAATATCACAGTAATTCTTAAAGAGAAAAAGATGAAGTCTTGACTGCTTTCTGAAATGCTTGTTGTTGTTGTTAAAGTGCCATCGAGTCGATTCTGACCCATAGCGACCCTGTATAGAGTTTCCTTGCACTTCAGATGACTTTGCAGTCGGACGCATTACCACACAGCACCACACCAGGACTCCTTACTACTGGTCAAATATCACCAACAGCTTCACTTGGCGGGGTGTTCTCCCTTTCCCTTCCCATCCCACCCTTCCCACCCCCACATCTACCCAAGTGATTTTCCTGTGCCAGCCACACAACAGACAGCCTCAAATGAGGAAATGAGGGGTTCCAGTTGGGAGACATGAATGTTTATTTTGTAGGTTGAGCGGAGTTGTGAGAAAGCAGAGATTTCACATGTGAATAAAGATGAATCAGCACAGACTCTATACCTGTGTGTATTTTAAAGAGTATAGAGAAAGAATGTAGAAACCTGTGAGACTGGCCACCTGCAGCAGAAAAGTCATCATGGGGATCATAAGATATGATAATAGGATGAGTGCTGGTCTAGGGAATATTATTGAATGAGTTTCAATAATACACTGTACCCTATCTTTTAAAATTTTAATAAGTGAGTCAAATATGTTCCTAATGAAATGTGTTATAACTCACATGTTAGTTCCAGTAAGATCCTGTGTAGATTATAATACAGAGGAGAACAAGGAGCCATTGGAATGCTTTAAGCCTGGAAATGATAAGATCAAAGGTTAATCAAGATAAATACAATCAAAGAAAAGAAACCGATGAACCAATAGCTTGGAATGGTTTTAAGATCTTGGAGTAAAAACAGCATGATTTTAGTACCAATTCTTTCCTGAAATTTTGTTTTTTGTTTTTGTGGGTTTTTAAAAACAGCAACACACATCTCTGAAATTCTTTTTGTTTCTAACTTTCTAAGTGAAAAAAAACGGATAACATTTTGTAAGTATAATTAGGATGATGTGATATTCGTGTTAAATAATCGTGTTGGGATTTTGGTTTATTTTATTGTATTGAATCAAGTGAATGAGATTACAGATGGGCATTGGTTATAATTAAGTGCTTCTGCATTTTCTTTGTAGGGATTAATCATTTCATGAAAGAGACAGTGAAGAACTGTAGAAGAGACGGCTTTGTTCAGACAATTTTGGGAAGACGTAGATATTTGCCAGGAATCAAAGACAACAACCCTTACCATAAAGCTCACGTATGTTGACATTTCTCTGGACTTCTAACTTAGCATTTTAGTGACATGTACTTTTTCAACAAGCATGAAGCACTGTTAATGTCTGATTCAGGCACTACTAGCATTTTAATTGGATCTTTTGTTTATACATTGGCTTAATTAAGGATTTCTGAAATGATGACACAGATAATTGTTTTTAGGAGACTCATATAAATGTGGAGTTATTTATTAATTTTTTTCCTTAAAATTTATTTTGTTGTTGAAAACCTATACAGCAAAACATACACCAATTCAATAATTTCTCTGTGTACCATTCCGTGACTTTGGCTACATTCTCTGAGTTGTGCAGTCATTGTTATCCTCCTTTTCTGAGCTGTTCTTCCCTCATTAACATAAATTATCTGCCTCATAAGGTTCTTAATCCATTTTTTTTTTTTTTAACTGTTGTCACTTTGATTTCTTAGATCTTAAAAAAGCATAATGCTCAAGTCATACCTTTTTTTGTTGGCTATACTAAACAAATGTTTGGTTTTTAAAAGACTCCAGGAGATATTTTTGTCTTAAGGCTTAAATATTATCTCAGGGCAAATAGTTTCAGAAGTTCATCTACCTTCCATGGCTCCAAAAAGCCTGGAGTCCATGAGAACTTGAAATTCTGCTCTGCATTTCTTTCTTTGGATCAGATTTTTTCTGTGAAATATTTGATGAAAATATTCAGTAATGGTGGTTGTTGTTGGTAAGTACCATTGAGTTCTTTCTGACTCATACCGACCTTGTGTAGGGTTTCCAAACAGCGACTGGTGGTTTGAACAGCTACTAGCAGTCCAGTGCTGATCCTACCGTGCCACACCAGGACTCAGTAATGGTAGGCAGGCACATCTAGTTTTTCTGGTCTTATGGCAAAGGATGCAGTAATTCATAAAGGCAGTTAGTTTCCCATTCTACCATAGGTTTATTTAATAATACTTCAATTAAAGAAAAATTTTTTCAGTCAGTCAGTTATCTATTAGCTTTGTTACATGTTATAAATACTACAGTTCTTGCATTTGCTAGTTATTCTTTGTATCAGATACCATGTACTCATTTTCCATATCATATCAGATTGCCAGTGTTCCTTAGAGATTAGCAAACCATTTAATTGTAATTTTTTGATTCATTCTACTTTTATATTTATTTTAAAAGCACTGTCTCATCAGAGCTTATTGTTGTTGTTAAGTGCCGTCAAGTTGGTTC